AAAAATAAAAAAAATAAAAAATTATAAACATTTTGCATTAAAAGATTAAAAAAAAAAATTTCATCTGCTTTTTAATCCAGAACTCCTCAAGATGAAAAGTTAAAGTTTTTCCTGGTTTCATTTCAAAAGTCTTCTGTTAGGAATCTTTGGCTATCCAATTATTAATTAACTAATTGAAAAAAATAATTGACATTTTAATCAATAATCAAAATAATCATTAGTTGCAGCCCTAGTTTATTTATATAGCACCAATTCACGACACATCTTTACAGTTTCATGTATTCCTACAGAAAGTTTTTATCAAGTCTTTTATCTACTTTAACGTGTACATAAACTTTACTGACATCCTGTTCTTAATCTAAAGGGTTAATTTTAGGACTGAAACGATCAGATTAATTGATTAATGAAATAATCGTCGGCTAATTTAGTAATGCATTCTGCATTATTGTTGCTTTATTTCCTGTTTGGATGCTGGGATCTTGTTAAAGGTTGAATTCTGACACCTAAAGACAGAATGTAGCAGAAAGCTTTGAGCTGGATAAAATAAAATATTTTAAATATGAAACCAAACGTTTGAATGAGTCTATCAGTGCAAGTTTAAGCATTGTTTTTAAAAGGTCATTTAACCGTATTGTGGTATATATAGTGTATGCGATGATAGCCCAAATATATCATGATATTAGATTATCTTTATATTGCCCAACCCTACAATAAACAGACTAATTTAGAAAAACATCCTGTTAAAGGATTTTATTTGTAGCTAGAAGGATGAAAGATAAAGCAGCAGCCAGTGGGAATCGCTCTTTAGTTATTCCAAAATCATGAAAAACAATGTGATAGCTACGGGGATGGCTGTGAATGATTACACTGTTTTCCTTTTTGTTTTTTATATTTGAAAACCTTCACAACCTTCCTACAAGCAGCTGTAGACTCTATTTGTGCCGCTCAGATAAAGCAGCTCTTTGTGTTTAATTTGAAGAGGTCAAGTGTTGCTAAAATGTTCCCTTTATGTGTGTCTTCTAAGGCTTTAATCAATTTCAGGGCTAAATTTAAAACTATCATAGTTTAATATCTATTTTCAGGAGAGGATTTTCCGGTTAAACATGAATTCCTGTTACTCTGATTTCTTTTCTGACTTTTAGGAATGTCTGAAATTTTCTGATTACGGAGGCTGACTGTAAGGAGATGAGACGGTCTGCTCAGGCGCTCTTTATTATCTGAGAACTGGGCCAGAACTGAACCGCACCGAGCCCTACTGATGAACCAGTACAATACAGCCTTTGAAAAATCTATTCTAGACCTGTTTTCAGGTTCACATATCCACTATGGGTTTATATCGCACACTAGAACCATCGCAGTTGATGACATCACCACTAATGTGTTTCGTTTGGATAAATGTCGCCTGTCAAACTGATGGCCAGTGGGAGTTCCAGTAGGATCAGAAATCTGGGAGTCCCAGTGTTAAAGTATTTCATAACTTTTTCCTTGACCTGTCTGCTGTGGCCTAATGCTGCTCGGTAACCTGCTTAATGTTCATTGACCAAACTCTACAGCCCTCACAGAGCAGCCGCAGTTTTACAAAACAAAAACAAACCATTTATATCTTCCCAACACCTTAACGTATGCAGCATTTTAACTCCAGCAGAAAGAAATCTTTAAATTACTCAAACATTTGTGGTTGTGATGTAAAAAAAAACCTAAAAAAAAGTTCAATGGATTGGAAGACGTTGGCAAGTTTTTATCTTCTGTTGTTTTAATGTTTAAAATAACAACTTTATTCTGGTAAAACCCTTTATTTATATATATATATATATATATATAAGGATAGACTTCCAGCTGAAACACAGTAGGTGAATGGTAATCCTTTACAGGGTTTATTTTAGCATCAAGGCACGTTGAATATTGGCAGCGATGGATGGCATTTTGATGTGCATCACAGCTGAGCCCATTACTCCAAGCTTGCAGCTATTAACGTTGTCATGGTATTTCTCAGACTAGGACATGTAATCTCGCTTATTACAAGCCTCATCTAGAGTTTCCAGAACAAAATAGTTTTTGGGGCAAATGCGGCGTCGCTAAATAAAGTCCGAACGCTGAAAGCAGCTTTGCTATGTTAGCTTTGGTCAGTGGAGAAGAAGTAGTTTTAAAGTAAAAGTTCAGTCAGCAGGAATAATCAATGGATCATTATTTATACATTTGTAGTGATTTAATGAATTTAGTGTAAATCAGTAAAATAATTGAAATAATTATTTTCATCGCAATCACGGAGTCTGGGAGCGGCCATTTTTCCCCCAAATATAGTAGCCCCTCCCTCCTGCCATCTTCCAGCAGTGACGTCACGGTGCGGTAAGCCTAGCGCCATTCTTCCCGCTTTACAAGCTAAATCAATGGGAACTATTACCGTATTTTCACGACCATAAGGCGCACCGTATTAAAAGGCGCAGTCTCAGTTATGTGTGCCATTACTGTATTTAACACACACGTTTTATATACAGGTACATGTCCTCTACTACGTTTAAATACCTCTACTGCATATTTAAAATAGAGCGGGAGCAAAACTGAGTACGATTGTGCTTTATTCATGTATTTATTACAAAGTATTAATCAAACCCATCAAAGTCATCATCCTCTGTTTCTGAATTAAACAGCTGCGCTAAATCAGACATGCCAATTTCCCCTTCTTCGCTGTCAGAGTCACTTTCCGTGCAGCGCGGCTCCTCGGAAATGATGCCGGCTTTTGCAAAAGCCGGCATCATTTCCGAGGAGCCAGCAGACGCGTTAGCTCAAGCATCTACAATCCATCCGCAAACTGTGGCGTAACTTGCCCGGCGCTGCCTTCCACTTTTCGTGAAACTGTGGTCTCCGTCTGTCATTCATCGCTCCCACGCCGCTCGCAGCCTTACTTTGAACGGCCGGTTCACACCGATGTCGAGCGGTTGAAGTTCCTTTGTCAGACCTCCCGGAATAACAGCGAGCACAGAGTTTATTTGTTTCACCATGTTTTTCACATCGGCTGTGAGATGGGCACGCATGGAGTGATGCGATGGTGATGCGTGGAAAAAACCACCTGGTCTCCTCACATACACCTCCCTCAGCCACGCTTTCATCATCTCCTCATCCATCCAGCCCTTTTCATTTGCCTTCATAACGACTCCAGCTGGAAAAGTCTCTTTAGGCAAAGTCTTTCTCTTAAAAATCACCATAGTTTCTGTCCATTTGCATGGCAGCCAATCCACGCCCACACTTCCCCCTTTAACGTTCTCATGGCGGTCTCAACAACATCCGCAGTAACAACACACATAGGACGCACTGCACATTTTGAGGGGAAAAAAAAAGACGTTTATATGCGCCTTTTAGTCACGAAAATACGGTAGACACATCTGCAATCAACAACAATTATTTATTTACTGAATAATAATCCTTTGGTTATTCCTCGCTGACTGGACTTTTACTTTAAGATACCAGAGAAATAATCAAAGTTTTCTCCTGTTTCTCTTAGTAAAATATCTCATTATCATTAAAACGACCAGTTCATCCAGCGATGCCACCTAATGAAATGATTATTGAACATTATTTTATTTGACACAGCAGAGGAAGAAGGTTGTTTTTTTTTCTCTTCAGGTTATTTCAGGTTTTCAACCACATTTAAAGGCATCCAGCCTGCGGTTGGCTGGACGCGTTAACGAACATTTTCTGGGAATTTCTTCCTTTTCGTTTTATTGCTGTGAAACAAACGGCACTCCCAGGGTGATTAAAAAAATCGACGTTGATGTTTAGGAGCAGAGCACCAAACAATAATTAAACCCTGGGTGTGTATGAAAAGTTGTGACTCCGTCTCTTTTTGCTTTCCGCAAACAGCTTTCAAGTCGCCTGACTCGACCAGTCCGGTCGCTTTTTAATTTTAATACTGTAACCCGGGAGGAATTCGGTTGATGTGGTGTCGGCCAGACTGATGAGATGCCACCAGAGTTACAGATCATGGCGGCTGTGTTACTGTATCGTAGTACAGTTGCTTCACAGACTGTCTTGCGAGATCACGGACGCCACAAGTTTCAGCAGGAAGATATTCCTAATGAATGTTTTTGCGCCTGGAGTTGTCAGAGGAGCTGAGATGATGGATCGCTGTTGGTTAGAGGAAGTAGGAGCTCCTTTTTTGGAGAGGATTTTTTTGGTGGATAACATCTTGGGAACACGTTGCTCAAATGTCAAGGGCAAAGAAGCCGATTGGTAGTTTCCCCGCCCTTTGATCAACGCGGGTCTTATTTGTTTTGCAGCCGTGCTTTTCACACTAACGCCTAGAGGCCATGGAGAATATCTGGATTCTTTAGGAACAGAAGTTTGATGCTTTGTGTAACTGCTGCTCCAAAAAACTCACTTTCATTTAGTGATTAATGATAATATTCCTGTGTTAAAGTTTATTTTCTAAGCTTTAGATTAATTCCTTTGTTTTTCAAAATAAGTATAGAAGTCTAAAGTTTTATCCTCCTGGAAACATTTCTTTCTGTAATTTAGGTGAACCTTTAAAACTTTAAACTTGACACCAAATATTTTTTAATTTCCGATCAGCTGGACTGTGGGCTTGTTTTCCAGATATGCACATCAAGCTGAAGCAGTTTTTTCATCCTAAACGTGTCCAGCTGTAGAAAGTGCCAGAATGATGGTGACGAATGAAACCATTTCAGGCTTCACAAAAATCTGTGTCATCCAGAAAATTGGAGGTACATCAGGGTGGTCTGACAAGCAGGCTTCCAGCCGGCTGACATCCATCAACAGCAGATGATTGTTCAATTTTCCACCGCAAATCATAGTTAATGGAGCGAGAATATAGAAGTTAAACTTCTCCAAAGTTATTTTTCCTTTTGGACGGGGGACCTTCCAGTATCCCGTCTACACCCAGACGTTGGCTGTTGTTTAATATGGGTCGTCCATGTTTTGCTCTAACAGGAATTAGCTGAACTATCAGTGGCTGGTTACCATGGAGTTTATTTATAATTTGCACCAAAGGCCACGTTCTTTATTCAGCCTCAAACTCTCCATCATATTAACCAAAAGGCTGTTTTATGTGTAATGATTGTATTAAAAAGGCAAATTGACCGTGCTGAGGAGTCGGGACCTTTGGGTTTGAGGGGGGGGGGATAATGGCTGTGATGTAGAGCCGCTCTGCGTGCTGACAGCATTGTTGCTCGCCTCTCTACTCTGGCCCTGTGTTGCCAGAAGGCTCCAATGATGAGTTCATTGCTGGCCAGCTGGTTGTTGTCTCTCCTTCCCGTCCGGATGACACCCCCCCACCCCAACCCTCGACGCTCAGCCGGCCGTAAAAGACACTACGAAAGCAGCAGCTTATGTTCTCCTCTGGTTCTTATGTGCAACTCGTCATCACAGCAGAGTGTCAGATTTATAGAGAAGGAAGGAGACGTTAAAACAATCATTTCTAAATGTTTTTATTATTATTAGTAAAACTGTGACAAGATGTTTTAAAAGAAAAAATAATCTGATCACATCCCCAACAGTTTGCTGGGTGTATTCAAGCATCATAGCTACACTGCAAAAACAATCTAAAAGTAGTAAAGAAATCTCAAAATAAGTTTATTTACAGTTAATTTGGGTCGGTAAATAAGATGATCTGCAAATGGAATCGGTATATTTAGCCTTAAAATAAGATAATCAGATATTAAGCACTTGAAATAAGAGGCCGCTGTTGTTTTTTTTCTTATTTTAAATGTAAATTGTCTCATTCCATTGGCAAAGTATTTCACTTACCTCCTTAATTCAAGGAAAAATGCGCCTAATTTAAGAAAAATGTCTAGATTTTTGCAGTGTAAGATGTTTTTGCGCCGGTGACCTGAAGGAAAGGTAACGCAGTCCAGAATCTGCGTATCAGAAACCCACTGAACGCCTGCGGCTGCTGAAAAGGCCAACATGCTTGGCACAGAGGTCAGCCATGTTCACAGGAAATGTAACACATCAAATTTACTCTGTGAATGCTCAAAGATCTCACTCTACCCCGCTCCTATTTTGAGAGAAACCAGAGAGGGTAATGAAAGGGGATATCACGTTTTTTTGTCTTTGAAAAAGGGCCAGTCATGCATAAAGTCCAAGGCCACATTTCTTTCCCAGCCCTCCCCTGCCCACACACACACACACACACACACACACACACACACACTTGTATGCTTACAAACAGTCTTTTAATTACTTGAAGCATTTGATCAGACTTGCATTAAAGAAAATTGTGTCACAACTGTAATTTTGCTGGGTTTAGAAAAGTGGCTGTGGACGGTTCAGTGTCAGCTGCGGTGTGAGTTATGAGGTCTAAATGCGATCTGTTTACCAGCTTTATTTCCTTTTTCTTCCCATCCTGCTTTGAACAGTTACTTTGAGAAGCAGAAGGCAGAGTGGCAGAAGGAGCCACATGAGCCCGCCATCCCAGAGTCACTAGCTGCGGCGGCGGCGGCGGCACAGCAGCTTCAGGTGTCCAGGAAGCAAGACGCCCGGCAGACGGCCACCTTCAGGCAGCAGCCGCCACCCATGAAGGTATTTACATTCAAAACGGATGCAAAGGAGATTAAGGAAGTCTGTGGATCGCCACTTTCTAGTGGCGCACAAACCACACCGGGCTCGTCGTCTCTTCCGTTCCTCATTTAGCTGCTTTGGGTGAAGGCAGAGGGCAGCGTCAATAAAGCTGAATCTCAGTCTTCGTCTTTTATTTAACGGTTTTCCTGATGAATAAAGAAGCAGCTGCTATTTAAATATTCAAAAGATGGAACCATACGCAGCCCTACCAAGGTGTATCGGAGCCACGCTGGAGTTTATCTTTTAAAATTATGAGAATAAAGTGAAAATAATGTAACATTAGGAGAATAAAGTAATAAAAATACAAGAATAAAGTCGTAAAATTATGAGAATGAAGTCATCAAACAACAACCTGCTGACGGCCGACCAGCTCCACCATCAGTCTGCTTAGTCTCAGACATTCTGATGATAAATTTATGCTAAAAGACTTAATATTTCCTTATTTGTGAAACAAAGTATAAGATCCTCAACATTCCTCATTTTAGGGAAGACTGGGATTCTTGGAAGAGTTGTCATAAAATAAAAAATTTTTCTCATAATGTTACAACTTTATTCTTGTAATATCACGTTATTTTCATAATGTTATGAATTTATTCAGAAATTAGCAGAAAATAAAATCTCTGCATTTCTTACTTCGGCAGAAGCTGCAGCAGCTCTGCAGCTCAATCTGGTTACATCTTCATAAAGGCCAAAAATTGCTGAGAAACAAAAGATTTCTGCAGACTTGATACGTGCAAGATTCTGCTTTAATGTAAATGCTTTCCGTTGGAAAGATGCTTAGAAGGTCTTTCTTTTTTTCTCCGTCCGTCCGTCCGTCCATCCATCCATCCATCCATCTCCCTTTCTCCATATAGGCTAATATTTGATCGTTCATGTGCTCCATAGTTCCCCTGTGGTGCGAACACAGGGCAGCTGTTACGCACCTTTAGCTAGCATGCTCGTTTCCTGTCGCTTGCTGATAGTTGTAGCTAACGCTATCTTCTGAACAAAGAGCAGCTTATGTGCTGTTATTAGTAAACCTGCTTCAGATTAGCTCAATATAACAAACATTATATTGAATTTGGGTCAAATGCTACAATTTTTGCAAAGTTTTTAAACTCTTATTCTGCTAAGTTTAGCTCTATTACCTACGGAAGCGGAAGAGGATTAGGGCCACTGGTGGGGCCGGCTGACTTTAATCTGACTTTAATCTCACAATTTTGGATTTTAATGTAGATGGGCACCATGAAGGAAGAGATGTGTGAGCACTCAGCTTCACTGACAAAGATGTTTGGGAGGGCCAGTGACAGATTGGTGCAAAATGACGAAATTAGTCAACTTTTTACGTGCCCAAGGGGTCTCGTAATTAATGGAGGAGCAGAAGGTCATTAAAACAAGAGAGCTAGTCTCTAAAACAGACATGGCTATGGCTTGATGCTAACATGTTTGTTATCTGTTAGATATCTGAGAAAAAAGTCGGAATTCTGAGAAAAAAGTCAGAATTCTGACGACCACCTCCCCATCAGGAATCGTAAAGTCAGGAGAAAATCAAACATGTTTGAAATTCAGTCGGCCGTCGTAAGGTGGTCGTGGGCAAATCACTCAGTGGGCAACAAGGATTCTTCTTCTTCTTCCTCTCAAT